ACACAGCAGGCCAAGCAGCATCAGAGGAGCAGGAAAGCTGATGTTTCTCATCTGGACCCTTCTTCAAAAAACCCTTTTTCTGAAGAAGGGTCCAGACCCGAAACATCAGCTTTCCTGCCCCTCTGATGCTGCTTGGCCTGCTGTGTTCATCCAGCTCTACACCTTGTTATCGCTGAAGTTACATACAAGTGGATTTGAAATGTACTGCAAAGGATTTGCTCAAAAGCCCATTTTTAATGTCATTATACACAATAATCAGCTAACCAGTTAATAATTTCAGACTCTTGCAGCATACAATTAGGAAGCAAGGAGTTTAAGAGAGAGAGAGAGAGAGAGAGAGAGAGAGAGAGAGAGAGAGAGAGATGTAGTAAAAAAGCCTATCCAGGGCTTCTCACTGTTTATTCCCATCGGCGATTTCTCACCAAAAGTTTGGACTTAGTTGCAATACTCCAGTCCACCTCCAATTGCAGTGGATTTGCCTCCTTTGTGAGGAAGGCCTTATGGCGATAACTGCCACTACCAATGGAATCAAAGCAAGTCTCGAATCGATGCCTCCTGGTGGGTGGAGTAAGCTTATAAATTGGTCCTAGATGCCCTTCAGTACAGTACCACTGAGCCAGAAGACCTGGGCTCAAATCCCATCTGTTCCAATCGTGGGTCATAACATATCTGAACAGGTTGAATAAAAATATCTAAAATTTGGTCCTCAACCCTAAGAATGTCTTTGTTTTCATCCAAAAACACTTCAAAGGTAAGAGGAGGAATAGGTAATACTTAGGACTAAATATTTGGAGGCCTGAATCCGGACTTCCCAACCCACACATAGCACCTACAATCTTTGACATCTGCGGGGAATTGCCTGGGGTGAGGTTCCGCATTAGAATTGTTAAGAGCAAATATAAACTTTGCAAAGCAACTCTGATAGGTACAGCACCCTTTTGGTTGTAGTACTGAAACATCTTTAGGGGAGGTGCGATACTGCTGCGGGAGACAAAGTGTCCTTTGGTATTGTTAAAAGATTACCTGAACGCACCCAAGAAGGATCTGGTAAAAAGAGGTGAGGTGAGAATGACATTAAAGCATTAAGGCACCAAGGCACCATTTGACTGAATGTAGCATCAAAGAGGTCTAGCAGAACTGGAGTCGGGGAAACTCTCCACTGGCTAGGGTCATACCTAGCATAAAGAAAAATGTAATTATTGGAGGTCAGTCATCTCAGCTCCAGCATCTCTCTGCAGGGATTCCTCTGGGTAGTGTCCTTGGCCCAACTGGTTCATCAATAATGTTCCTTTCATCATAAGATTAGAAGTCTTGAAAACAGATAGCATTACAGAAGAGGAGGTCTTAAAATGCATAAAGGTAGACTGAACATGTACATGGATAGGAAAGGTTTAGAGGGATATGAGCTAAATTCAGGTAAATAGGACCAGTTCAGTTTAGGAAACCTGATCGGCACAGATAAGTTAGACCAAAGTGTCTGTTTCTGTGCTGTGTGACTCTATGATTGTAAGTTGGGATGTTCACTGATCATTGTGCATCATTTGCAAGCAAGACCTGGACAACGTTCTAAGCTTTGTAACACTAGTGCCTCACCAGTGCCAGGCGATGAGCATTTCCAACAAGAAAGAATCTAACCTTGAAGCACAATGGACTTGGCACTACATTGTTGTTTCTTCAACATTGCTGGGTTAAAATCCTGGAATTCTCCTACACACCAAGGACTCCAACATTCAAGAAGGTATCTCAGCACTAACATCTCCAGGGCAATCATAGATGGCCAGGAATTGGTGGTTTTGGTACCAATGCCGACAAACAAACAAACAAACAAAATAAAAGTGTTGAAACATCTCAAGATGATGTGGAAGTTATGCTACAGCTGTACAGAGCTTTGGTTAGACCCTGAATAACTCCATTAAGTTACAGTCACCAATACACAGAAATGACACATTGTCATTGAAAGTGCGTGCAATGCTGTTTCATCACAGCTGTCCTGGAGTTACGCATCAAGTCAGAAGAACATCTGCTGGACTTTGCTTGAAGATAGCAGATTGAGTGGTGATCTTACATAAATAGTTAAGATGATTCAAAAAAAAACTTAATAGGATAGACAAAAAATCTCTTTCTTTTGAAGGAAGAATCCTAAATAAGGGGCCATTTCCATAAAATTAGAGGCAGGCCACTTTGGGTGATATTTGAAAGCATTTCCTCACGCAAAGAGTAGTAGAAATATGGAAATCCTTCACTAAAAAAACTTGTTCAAGCTATATTAAAGAGCAAAGTAAAGCTTACAGTCAAGGACATTAAAAGTTAGGAAACCAAGGTTAATGGAGTTAACGTACAGAACAGCCATGATCTAATCAAATGATGGAACACATTCAAGGGATTGACAATCCTATTTTCCAAAGAACAAAAGCTTGAGGATGGTAAAGAGCCTGAAAGTCTAATGTTTTTTATTCAGGTGCAGCAGAAAATTCAATTTCCTGGGTAATTCTGCTCGAGATAGAAACCACTGAAAGAGTCCATTAAAACTGGAGAATCAGAAGGTTCCACCTCAGTTAAACCAACAGTTATCCAGAAAAAGTTAAAGGATTAAAAACCTAGTATAGTTCCTGGATAGCTTCAAACTGACTCCCTGACAACTATGCCCAGAGCAGACTTTCCACCCCAACCCAACTTGACTTAGATGAACAGTCTTTAGAATATCCAGTTCACCAACAAATATAAGTAGCTAATGTGTAACAAAGAGTAATAGCCTGAATTTTCCAATTAGCCATATTATGGTTTCTGAAGCATGTATGGTAAGTGCACATAGGGACCCTGTGGAGTCCCACAGCTCAACCATTCCAGACCCGACATAACCCCCATTCCCGAGAACTGACACTCACCTGTGACTGAACCCAACACCCACCCCTATATGCCTGGGACCCAAAGTCATCTTGTAACCTAGGGCATCCTCCCTGGGTTTGGAAACAACACCTTTATCCTCACTCTGGACCCAAACTTCCTGTTCTGTGCTCTAGAGATCATGCCACTTCCTTAGCTGCTGGAACCAAACGAGCTGTTCCCACACTGCTGAAGACAATAAGGACTGCAGATGCTGGAAGCCAGAGTCTGTAGGTGTGAGGCTGGAAAAGCACAGCAGTTCAGACAGCATCTGAGGAGCAATAACGTCAACCCACCAACTTCTGAATCCAAAGCATCATCCTCTGACATCTCCACCACCTACAATCAGACCCCACCACCAAAAAGATATTTCCCTCCCCACCCCTGTCCACTTTCTACAGGGACTGTTCATTCCGTGACTCCCTTGTCAGCTCCACACTCCCCACCACACCCTCCACCACACCCAGCACCTTTCCCTGCAACCACAGGAGGTGCTACACTTGCCCTACACCTCCCCTCTCACCTCCGTCCAAGGCCCCAAACAATCCTTCCAAATCCGGCAGAGATTCCCCTGCACTTCATCCAACCTAAACTATTGCATCTGTTGCTCCCGATGTGGTCACCTCTGTATCGGGGAGACCAAACGTGGACTCGGGGACCGGTTCATGGAGAATCTGCGCTTTGCACACATCAACCAACCTGACCTTCCTGTTGCCATCCATTTTAATTCCCCCCTCCCTCTCTCCTAGTAACATGTCCATTCTTGGTCTCCTCCACTGTCAGCGAGGCCAAACATAAACTGGAGGAACAACACCTGATATTTTGCCTTGGAAGCTTACAGCCCAATGGCCTCAACATTGACTTACAAGCTCAAAATCCCTCCACCCCCCCAGCCTTATCCCATGTCCATCCCTCCCCCTCATGACCTGACCTAACCTGTCCATCTTCCTACTCACCTAACCACTCCACCCTTCCCACAGACCAATCACAATTATCCCCTACCTGCATCCACCTATCACCATCTCTCCTACCCTTCCCCAAGCCCCACGCCCCTCTCTCTATTTATGTCTGGGTTCTCTTCTCCCTCCCCAATCCTGAAGGGGAGTTTTGGCCTGAAACGTTGACTTTCCTGTCTGACCTACGGTGCTTTTCCAGCCTCACACCTATAGACCCCCACAATGATGGGCCTGACAATACCCACCCGGTCACCAGACCTGACTCCCTCTGCCATGCTGCCCCACTGCTGGACTTGGTCTACCCCACCACAGACCTGACACCATCCCTGCCCCCAGAATGACACTCAGCCCAAAGTACCCTAAACTCTTTTTCATTTACCTGGTCTCCTTCCCACCTTGCCTGGCACCCTACACCCAGCACCCTAACGCTACCCACATGGTACCCTGCCTACCTGGAACCCTTCTCACCTGGCACGCTACCCTCCCAGTACTAACCTCACTCCTACCTTATGTACTTACCAACTCACAGCAGACCCCCAAAGTCGGGGTTCTGTGATGCCGGATTTTTAAATTTCAGAACACAGCAACTGACTGCTTTGATATAAAAAAAGAGGGCATGGTTCGCCTTCCCCTGACAGTTCTACACGACGAGGGAGCTATCAGAATGGAAGTGCAGCTCTGCATTTTGAAAGGAGCCCTGATCAGAATCTCCTTTCAGAAACACACAGCCCTTCAATGTGTCAAAATGAAGCAGCAGAGTGACAACCTTCTTCTTGAGTTAGCCCCTCCTCAGAAAATACAGTCCAATGTTTCCACCCTCAGTAAGTTTAGATGAACACTGCTTTCAATCCACTTGAATATCAATCTTTTACAGGATTTAATTCAAAATTGAACAGGTAGACATAACCTCAACTTAATGTTCTATTCAAAGGACGACATTTACAATAGTACATTACTCCCTCAGTGCTGTACACTTGCATCAACTGAAATTACAAATTTGATTGGGTTCATGCAGTTGATGTGAACCAAGCTACACAAGAGAATAGAAAGCAAAGCTCATATCTCTTCTCTTAATGAAGGACTACCTTCATCATATATCAACACTGTTCAGTCATTTTTCATAACTGCAAGTATCTACCTGTCTATCGATCTGTCCAGCGACTGACAACTTCCAGACAGCGATGCCTCAGCACTGCTGAACGGATCCAAAACCTGTAGTTAAGAAGAACAGCAAGCTTTGAAAAAAAGTCAACTTCGTAAAATTTCAGTCAGAACTACAGATCCCAAAAAAAAAATGATTTCATACTATAACCACATACGGGAATACATGTAGAATCAAATTCAACAGAAAATGTTTGTACCTTTCAACTTTGGAAAAAGTCCAGTGAAACAAAAGGATGCAGCTGTGCAAATCTATACATTCCTTTCCAATACATTAAGACTAGTGCCAATGCAATAGGAACATTCTTACCTTGCATGAGTTATAGTTTCCCCAAGGTGACTCTGCAAACAGTGGAGCTATAGCAACAAAACCCAGCAAACAAATGGTCTTCACTTGTGAGTAAGTCACTACTTCTCGCGTCATGTCTCCTCAGAGGCGCAAGCTACACACAAGCTACAGAAGTCTTGTGGTGCTTTGGATAGTATCCCTGCTTCGGAGTCAAGAGTTCTGAATTTAAATTCTACCCCAGGACCTGACGGTCAAGGAAAGGTCATAACGCAGCCAAACAGGTAGACTATCCATCTGCAAATCTTTCGAACACATGCCAACGGCAGACAATAAGAATGGGAGAGATGAATGAATCATGTGTGATGGAGCCTTTATCAGCACAATCCATAGCTCCAGACATCACGCACATAAAAATGTATGAAGCCACTGCATCAGACCCCCTAAGTAATCTGAAAAAATAACACCACCACCACATACTAACTTGGGCACTCCTCCTCAGTACCACTGATGCAGACAGTGGTGTGCCCTCTGCTCTGCTTCCTGAAGTCAATAACCAGCTCCTTTGTTTTGCTGACGTGGATGGAGAGACATGATGGGTGGAGGGGCATAAGTGGCCTTAACTGGTAACTCAAGGGCCTCAGGATAGACACCATGGGCCTTCTAGCCAAGAATATAATTCTGGTAGACCTGGGAATGTGGTGGTATCTGGCTGTGCACCTCCCTGACTAATTAAGTGCTCTTTGCAAGCCAAGCCTGCCACTTCACAGGGGGTGCAACTCTGGATTTCAGTAACCCCCTTGCCATGATTTTCCATTCATCTCACTAAATGAAAAGAAACAATGGGGTAATTGCCTAAATTTCCAGCAGCAAATGCATGCAACTAGAAACCTAATTTATTAAAGCTTGGCACGACTTTGAGTGAACAAGTGTAACAGAAACTGTATTCAGATTAGATTAGAAATAATTTTGATAAACTGCTCACATTTCATCTGATATTTCCTGCATTACACCACAAACTATGCATCACCTTACATTTTAACGGGTGAATATTAATGTTAAGTATATCCTTTCCAAACCTGAAACAGTCTGCTGAAAATAAGATGAGGTACTGCATCAGCACTTCAAAATACCGTGAAACTGCAGGACAATTCATCTCCATGGAGCAGGAATAAAGTTGTTTTACTGTAGTATGTAATGTCAAATCAACAATTTATTAAACAATTTTTCCAATTGTGTTTAATGGAAACTAATATCATGAGAGATGTATTAAAATCAGAGGTGAGTTAATATCAGGTAATTGTTCTGATATTGCCTGTGTTATACCATCAGCCAATGCTGAAATTTTCCAAAATGATTTTCATCAAAATCCCTTCCTGAGAGCCTTACCCAAAGCATTAACTCATGTTTTTTTCTTAAAAATGCTTGCTGTTGTACTGTGTACCTCCAGCGTTTACTGCTTTAAGACAAGAAGATATAGGGCATAGAGGTTTTCCCCTATTGCACCAAGAAGTGTACTTTCACCAAGCATGATCAAGTATCTCCAGCATCTTTGTGTAGCATCAACTGATTCAGGAGATAGAATGACCCTTACACTTTGTTCCAAAGCCTCTGGGATGAATTCTCCCTCACTGTGGATGCTGGCATAGGATCCTTGCCGTACAAACTGCTGTTGCCCATCAGGAACACTGCCAGGTGGAGGCGAGCTACGTCCTGTATGCAGGGAACCTGTGGCAAGCAGAACAAGTTAGAATATAAAGGAGCTCACTTGATTTTAAGAAAAATCTTTGCAACAAACATAAAAAAAGTTTAATTTCAAGATCGCCTTCGCGACACAGACATTCCTTACATGGCTTATGTTAGAGATCTTAAGTTGGTCTGATGTGCACATTCACTAGAACAGCCCAAGTTAAACTGTTACCAATCGTCTCTCTAATGAAAGAACTGCTCTATAGTCTCCTGGGACTATGGTGACTTTACCTTACTTCAAGCAGGACTTAAAGGACTAAATTATGTGGAAAGGCATGGCTTATAGTCCATTAAGTATTAAAAAAAAAAAGGATGAACTATTTGAAGTGTTTAAACTAATAAAAAGATGCAATAGGATCGATAAGAAAATCTACTTTCTTTTAGCATGGAAGCCAAAACAAAGTTGCAAAATCTTAAATCAGGGCTGGCCAAATCAGCAATGAAATCACAAAGCTTTAAACAGAAAGGATATTGTCACTCTACCCCTAAAAGACTATGGATGTTGGGACAATTTAACTTTCAACAGCAAGATCAATAGATTTTCACCACTCACGGATATCAGAGTTTGGAATGTAGATGGCTGAATGGCACTGAGGTACAAGTAAGGCATGATCTAAATGAGCAAATTAAGTGTGGTGAGGACAGCAGGCCAGTCTGCTCATGCACTGAAGTGAAATTGATTTCTCTGTGGAGGGGGGTACAGGCTGAGATTAAGATCATGGATGCTGTCTATAGTATCCCTGACATAAGAATCATTTTTTTACCCTCAATTTATTTAAACTTTTATTTCACGGTGAGGATATTGCTGGCATTTATTGGCCATTTCTACTTGCCCTCGCTTTCCTTTAAGACCTATTCGAAAACCCATATTAAACCTATGCTACCCCTTTTTTGCTGGGAATCTGCTTTAACTGTTCAGTATTACTTTTCTAAGTGCCCGGAATTAATCAGTAATTTTAATAGACTTGTATTTTAAATATAAATTTTAAGCAAAATAATCCACATATAGAAACGTTTTTTCTCCTCTCTGAATGTACCACTTTCTTCTGAAGTGCTGCTATTAAAATGCTGTTGAAGTCTTGAGAATCATAAGAATTAATCTTCACTTATCAGTAACAAGCTTTTCTGCTTGATTCCAGCCTGATTGTTAAACAATTAAGAGAAATCTAGAAGCACATGACTTACTTCAGTCCTCCCCACCCAGATATCTAGGAAGTACAGGGAGGTGTACTCTATTGGAGATTCCATCTGATGAAACATTAAACAGATGTAACATTTGTCCTCTCAGGTGCAACTAAAAGATCTGCTGTCATTATTTTGAAGTATAGCAAGGGAATTACCCTAGTATCCTGGTTATAATATTTATCATTTGACAACCACCTTAAAAACAGAATACCTTGGGCATTTATCATATTGCTGGTTTTGGAACGTTGCTCCAGCTATACAAAAGCCTGGTTCGGCCACATCTGGAGTATTGTGTCCAGTTCTGGTCACCTCATGACAGGAAAGATGTGGAAGTGTTAGAAAAGGTGCACAGGAGATTTACCAGGATGTTGCCTGGAATGGAAGGAAGGTCTTACGAGGAAAGGTTGAGAGAGCTACGGCTTTTCTCTTTAGAACGACGAAGGATGAGAGGTGACTTGATAGAGGTGTACAAAATGATCAGAGGTATAGATACAGTAGACAGCCAGAGACTTTTTCCTAGGGTGGAGGTAGCTTTTACGAGGGGACATAGTTTTAAAGTGAAAGGAGGTAGATATCGGGGAGACGTCAGAAGTAGGTTCTTTACTCAGAGTGGTAGGGGCGTGGAATGCATTGCCGGAGAGGGTAGTGGAGTCGGCCTCGTTAGGGGCATTTAAGCTGCTATTAGATAGACATATGGATGATAGTATAAGGTAGCGATGGAGGTTAGTTAGACCTTAGGTTTCGGGTAAAAGTTCAGCACAACATCGTGGGCCGAAGGACCCATACTGTGCTGTAATGTTCTATGTTCTATATAAATTGGATACAGTATTTCCTACACTGCAACAGTGACTACACTTCAAAAGCATTCTGAGGCTTTGAAATAGCCTAATGCTGTGAAAAGGTTTTAAACATGTTCAAGTCATTCTTTTCTTTCAAAGCAGACTATTCTACTGCTCAGAAACAGCATATAATATTCAGAAATGTTTATTTGAAGTGGTTTTTTGGTCCAAAAATTGAACTATTAAAGTGATCTTTTGCTAAGAGTAAACCATGCACCCAGCAGTCATAAAAGTCAACGGCATTTCAATGTCAAGCTTGCTATCAGACTGACAGGAGTACACAGATCTCTGTGGGAACTGGTGGAGGAAGTTAGCCTCAGCTGTTAATGTTGCAGGAAGCACATGATTAACAATAATGAACTTGAGTTAGTCTTCTGATAGCACAAATGAGTCTTTGGCTTCAGACTCATTTGGAGGTTAAATCTGTTCATTTCAAATCAGATCTAGCACAATTTAATCTCCAAACAACAACAATAAATTTCACATCTCTAGCAGTGACTTTGTCAGTAAATATACGGGGTCCCAACTGTACTTGTTCTGGCAAGTGATTCTAGAGGAATCACTTGAAACTTTACATGAGATCACCTACACAAAATCTTTAACAGTCTTACTTGATGCCTCAGGCTCCCTCCCACACAAGGCCACTGTTACAAAAATGTTAGAGCTAAAGCTCAAGACTTGTCATAATGGGCATTCCTGCTTCCTCAGCTTTAGTGAGGTTCACCAAGTTTGAAGACCAAGTGACTTGAAGTGCACCAGCTTTCAGGAAAATGCAAGTGGGCCCCATCAGGAGAGATAGATGGAGGGTCAAGCTGAGGCAGCTCTGCACCCCCTCCAAAGATAGATGAGAATACTTTTTTTTTTAAAAATTGTGCCCCTATCTACCATAGGCAGCATTTCTGCGGTCTTTCTCAGCTGGAGGGGTGGGAATGAGGGGACAGGGAGGTCAGTATTCTCAAAGCACCCATGTACCACCAAAAGCCAGTTTCCACAAAGTGCCCCTAATGAACTCCTATTAACTTCAACACAGTCAGTTCTCAAGTTCCACAGTCGCTATGATCCTACTCCTGCAAATTCTGAGCCACAGTGAACTTGGGGAAATCAACAGCACAGTCTCACTGTTTACCCTTTGCTAGGTTAGCTGATATTAGCCAGCCCAAGAGTTGAGGGGAGGAAAACCAAGGGGCACAAAGTACTACAATCTACTTCAGATTCTAGGCTACAAAGGGGCAGCGATGGCCTGGTGGTATTATCACTGGAGTGTTAATCCAGAGACTCAGGTAAAGTTCTGGGCACCCCGGATTCAAATCCTGCCGTGGCAGATGGTGGAATTTGAATTCATTAAAATTCTAGGATTAAGAGTCTAATGATGACCATGAATCCATTGTCAATTGTTGGGGAAAACCTATCTGGTTCACTAATGTCCCTTAGGGAAGAAAACTGCCATCCTTACCTGGTCTCACCTACAGGTGACACCAGACCCATAGCAATGTGGTCAACTCTGAACTGCCCTCTGGGCATTTAGGGATGGGCAATAAATGCATGTCTAGTCAACAATGCCCTCATTCCATGAATGAACAAAAAGAAAAATATACATAGTAATTTTTCTTCCGCTTGATATCAGAGAAATCTTGCTGAAGCATATGGATGGCAGTGAACATCACTTGAGGGCCGGGTCGAATGTGTGTATTGTATTCTACCAACATGAATATTTTGGTTTCAATATGAAGACTGGACATTTGGCTAGGGTACCAGAGCACAGTCAAATTCCAGAGGTTTTCAATAACAGCAAAAACTGCAAAAGTCTGCATTCTTCGAGTCCCTTTAAGGTCATAAATGTCTAAAGTACTTTACAAATTGGGAGTGGGCACCACATCGCTGCAAGATTAGAGGATGTCACAGGACGTCTGGTTGAGTAGGTTAATTTCAAGCAGATTTTTGAAAGTGGCAAGAGGTGTGATGTGGAAGTGAGTTTCAGAGTACAGTCTTGACAACCAATGGGAGAGGTACACTGAGGCAGAAAAATGCGCAAAATACCAAAACCACGGGTTCAGAGTTTGACAAGATTAAGAAATCGTGTGCAGTAAAGCCATAAAGTGAGTTAAAATAATGGCATTCAGGGTGAAGGTGTTAAAAATGCATTGGCAAGGTCAGGATTTCTGGGATACATGAAAAATACTAGTAGTTAGGAAGCAGGCATCAACATTTTGGATGAGAATGAAAAATACAATTACATTCATGAAAAATGGACTGAAAAATGCAGCTATGCCCAACTCAGTGTACAGTGCTGTGCAACACTGAACATGGATTTGAATCTCTTATTTTTGAAATGCAAGTTTCTGTCATTTCAACTGCGTAAGGAAAAGGGAGGAAAAACCATAACTGAGAAACCACTATAATGGCAACAACTTCCATCTACACGACACCCCTCTCTCAAGATCTTTCCTCATTTCAATATGATGGATGATAGTTTCAGGGTGGATTTTGTAAATATGCCTAGGAGAAAGTTGAGTACGTGCACTCAAGTTAAAGTGAAAAATTGGGCAAAGGCAGGTCAATAGAAATCAAGCCCTTGAAAGCTTTGATTCCTTGTTGCAGTGAGGTTCCATGCAGGTTGAATCCACTCCTATACATGGCTGTTATTGATCTGGAAGTAGACTAATTCAAATTTGGAAGTGAGGGGCAAGTCAAGCTCATGCCAATCTTGTCTATGCAGGAACCATTACAACTGAGAATCTCACTTGATTTTCTAGCGCTTGATCTAAGACTACTATGATGTCTTGTATCAGCTTCTACCACTGTTCCTCTGACTGAGATCAGCTAATCTAGAACAGATTACATGCCATATCAAAAAACTGATGATGCTGGAGATCTGAAACAAATATTGAAAGTGCTGTAGAAACTTGGAGGGTTTAGCAGCATTTATGAAGAGACTAACAGTTAGTATTTCAAGTCCACATTGGACTATGTATCTCTCTCCACAGAAGATGCCAGACCTGCAGAGTTTCTCCAGCTTTTTCTGTTTTGCTTCTGAGAGTATTTACACAAGAATATTGTACCAACTGCCTCACCTGTTGAGAGCTTCCGATGACGCTCATTCCCCTTATACAATGATCCCAACAAGTCTCCCATAGATTTTGCCATTCTAATTTCAGGCAACTTCTCCGTGGTTTTACAGTTCATCTGTTAGAATTGCACAGAAATAAAAATAAATACTACATTGTCTCTGGTTTATCAACTTCGCTGCTGAAACAAAGTGCCGATGACAGAAATTGGAGCAAACAGAAAATGCTGAGTAAGCCAATCAACATCTGAAAGACAGTTAATTAGCATTCTGGGTGAAGTCCCTTGCAATCTAATGAAGGGTCTACTTCTGATCTACTTTGTCCTTCAGATGATGACAGAGCCTCTGCCTACTTTGAGCTATTCTGTTCTGGTTTTTGAGTGCACAGACTTGATGCCATCTTTCATTTCTGTTCTATAACTCCACATTTGCAGATTTCAGCAGCAATAGACAGTTGTGTATTTGTGCTCAGGGAAACAGAGTTTGCAACAATGTGGACCAATGTGGACTTGTCTTTTTGCTAGCTTTTTTAGCAAAAGCATACTTGTGTGACTAGTCGTAACCTAAATAAGATTATTGAACCTGAAGGATACAGTTGGGAATAGTAACCAAGTAGAAATACTTTGCCTGATAGTGAAACGAAGATGGATTATCCAGAAGAATACATTAGTGAAGAAGTCTAGAAGTTGGTGGAGTGGGCAGGTAGGTGGCAGATGAAGTTCAAAGCAGAGAATGTGAGGAGGTGCACTTTGTTTACAAGAACATGGACAGACAATATAACATAAGGGTACAATTTTTAACAGTTGAAGGCGCGGAGGGAACTAGATGTATATGTATATCATTGAAGTGGGGAGGACACGTGGAGAGGCTAGATTATAAAATATGCAATATCTTAGACTTTAATAAAATGGGTCTAGAGTACAAGAGTAAGGAAATGGTGCTGATCTTTTACAAGGTGCTTGTTAGACCTCAACTGCATTATTGTGCCCAGTTCTGGATGCCAGACTATAGAACGTGAAAATGTTGGAGACAGTATTTAACTAATTTATTGGAGTTCGGCCTCTCCATCATCAACAAGGAACAAGTCAGAAGTGTGATGGAATACTCCCGATTTGCCTGGATGGGTGCAGCTCCAACAACAATTGAGAAGCTTGACACCATCCAGGACAAAGCAGCCCGCTTGATTGGCACAACATCTACAAGCATCCATTCCCTCCAACACTAACACTCAGTAGCAGCAGTGTGTACTGCAGAAATTTGCCCACGATCCTAAGACAGCAACTTCCAAACCCAAGAATGCTGCTATCTAGAAAGAAAAGGGCAGCCGATGCATGGGAACATCACATTCTGCAAATTTCCATCCAAGCCACTAACCATGCTGAGTTGCAAGTATATCAGCGTTCCTTCACTGTTACTCGGTCAAAATCCTGGAATCCCTCCCTAATGGCATTGGGGCCTACCTACAGCACATGGACTATAGCAGTTCAAGAAGATAGCTTCTGAAGGGCAGCTAAAGAAGGGCAATAAATGCTGACCAGCCAGTGACACCGATCTCCAACAATAGAGTTTAAAAAAAGTAACTTGTGCTGTAGATAAAGGGGAACCTGTGAATGTATTATTTTAAGGTTTCTGAAGGCATTTGATAAGATGCTACATCAAAGGTTATTGTGGGAAATAGAAGTTCATTGGATACGGATAACATATTGACTCGGATAGAAAATTGGTTGGCTAACAGGAAGCAAAAAGCAGGAATAAATGGATTTTTTTTAGGCTTGCAGTGTGTATATCCCAATGATTTCAGTTCACCTGCTTGATTCACATGAACAATAGTATTAGGTTTGATCAGCCACACATATCTAATAGCTTTGCCTCAAGAAAAATATAGTTAAAAGGTGTTTATTAGACAAGTTAACTCACATGGCTGTTCTTTCGAGGCATAACCAAAATCCTCAGGCTTTTCTTACTAGAATTGAGGTCCAAGTGCTCAACTGCTTTGTCCAATTCATTTTGGCATCGTAGTGGAGTGCGAAGCTGAATGGTAATTTATAAACACAAAGTTCATAGATTAGTAGGAGATTAGTACATAACTAGAAATTATTCAGGCTTGACTTTTCCAGCATTCTTCCTTCTAAATCATTTTAAACAAACCCAAACTCAGCAAACATTTCATTGCCTGAATCCTGAGCATTCCTAACAAAAAAGACCAAGCTTTTTGTCATGTACTCATCAGGACTGACACAGAAGTAAACAAACCTAAAAAGGGATCCTCCTGTGTACAAAGTCCCTTTTTTTCCCTCAACCATCTCATTATTCCTACAACTGGCTTACTCCTCCCCAGTGTATCGCCTTAAAATCTTCATTTTTAATCTGGTGAGGTGATGGCCAAGAGGTATTATCATTAACCTAATATCCTGAAGCCTGGAATGATGTTCCAGGATCCTGGGTTTGAATTTGCCATGGCAGATGGTGGAATCGAAATTCAATAAAAAAAAAAAACCTGAAACCTAATGACGATCATGAAAACATTGTTGGGAAAAACAAAGCTGGTTCACTAACATCCTATTGGGAAGGAAATCTACCATTTTTAACCAGGCCTGGCCTATATGTGACTTCAAATCCACAGCAATGGGGTTGACTCTTAACTGCCCTCTGGGCAATTAGGGATGGCCAATAAATACTAACATGGTCAGCAATGCCCATATTCCATTAATGAATTTTTGAAAAATGCAAACTATTCACTTAATTTCCCCAATCCTTACCATTGATAACATCTTCACTCATTCACTCAGCCTGCTCTTTGTTTCACCATCTGAAGCACAGTTCTCAATTATCGCATACTTGCATTCTGCAATGTCCTACTTGAGCTCCTCCATCGTATTAATGCTCAGTTCACCATCAAACACTGTTCAAAACCAAGTTCTTCAACCACCTTCTCAGTTATCTCCTATCATTTTGTTGCAAAGTCCTTCCTTCTTTAAAAAGAACTTCATTTAATTACGAACTCTGGTAACATTCAAAATGAAAGTTGGCACTAACAGATCATCAGGCTTGAATTTTTGTAATGATGGTGAGCCTCTCAGTTGTTAATGACAATGGCGAGCCTCTCAGTTGTTAATGACAATGGCAGCGGAGGCCTGAACCTGAATGTTCTACTACTGAAGGCAAAACTTACCATTTTGTGAAGGGGCTGGGTGGAGTAATAGGGGTGGATTCTAATTTCCATATCAACGGTTCACGGAGGCAACTAAACATGTTTAAGTGCAGTTCCTTCAAGATAATCTGATTTTCACTCATAAGATGTTCAAAAGACAACTTGTATACTTTAGACCTTATAGGAAGAGGTCTAACACTGCCTAAAAACAAACCCTGAGTTCTTTGGAGAGTTACCCTTTTGGAAAGGTAAGATACTACTATAAGTACCTTTGGGGGAGATGGAATACCCTTTGAGAAAGGAAGCTCATTTGGATTGTTAAAATTAGAAATGAATATGTGTAAAATTTGCATAAACTTATTGGAACTACCAAGCCTATGGGAACAGTCAAAAGAGCTGTCAACAAAGCTGTCAAAAGGAATTATTCGCAAGAGCAGTTAAGCTATACAGACACTTAAAACATTTGCCCTTTAATTATTTGGAAAACACTGTCTGCAGTGTTAAAAGTATCAGTGCTTGCTATTTCACTCTGTCTTTTGATATAGGCTTGAGGGTTATCATTATGGGATTAGTACTGATTACAAACCTTCATTATCATAAAGCCTATCAGTTTACAGTTTGATTGACAGCCCCAAGTTTTGAAAGTGGGACTATAAATTTTTATACATGTTTTTATAAGTGATTTTATAACTATCTGAAGGAATTTAAATGTACTGAATGGATTATCAACAGGAATGTGGACTTTCCTTTTCCCTTTTTCAATTGCTTTGACAAAGTGCCAATGCATCAAGGTAAGCCTTCTCCCTAGCCTGTCTCCATATCCAGCAGCCTCAGCAGTTTCTCAGAGGTCACCTATCATAACACCTAGAGTACATAGACTCACCAGAACAAAAATCCAGAGCACTTTCTCCTGGTTGCAGAGCTGCAAGTCCTCTCCTGACACAGGAATAGAAATCCAAGGGATACAAATGCCAACTGACATCAAATGTTATTCTCAACACCAAATTATCTAATCATTAGTTTTCAAACTCTCACTCTGGGGCCATCACAAAACTCGGCCTTTCACACCTTCATCATCATGGCAAATCTGAAAGACCCTTAAACAGATCTGCTCCTCCAATCAAAATCCTGAAGTCACACAATCACACAGCACCAATGGTGGCACACCCTACCTGAGCTGTCTGCCCTTGTCCTCCACATTTTTCACTCCTCCACTTTTATTTCTCCGTTATTCAGGCTTCTCACGCCCTTATTTTGCATTTCTTTTTCTCCCTTAATTCTGCCAGCCTGTTCTTTTTTTCCCTGCCATTCCTATAACACCAGAACTAGCGTACAGGGAAATTGCACAGCCACATGGGAAATACAAGACAGCAAACAGGACTCTCAATCAGCCAGTGAGTCGAGACTTCGAGGGCCAAACAATGAAGTAAATATTTACAAACTGGCTGTTTCTAATGTTGGTTCGGATATTCCTGACCATCCAATGGTTGCACAGTGACTACCCCTACACTGTACATATTTTGCAAAAAACGCTAATAACTAACAAATTAATGATGTAGAAAAATATACCTCGTTATTAATAAAGTGTAGCTCCATTTGCTGTCCAAAGGCATCGCTGACCTTGTGTAGCATGTCTTTCAATTTCACTGGTCTAGAAAACTGCATGATCCTTTAAAAAATAAATCCTCAGATTACTTAGGTATTTGCAAATCCATCTAATCCCTTAATGATGAAGCAAGGACCTCACAGCACCTTAAGAAAATGTAACATTGCTTTTACATCCATCAATGTTCTCTTCCATCTTTTACTGGTATCTCAAATTGTAGCCCACACTTTCGGTCTTGGTCAAGTGGTCATCCTAATGTGAACTAATACACTGAGTGTTTGCAGACTTTGTGAAGATCTTGTCTTGTGTAGGAATTTTCCAATTCTGAATTCCAATCATTCTCACCAGACTATATACATTCCACAGTCAGAACATAATTGCAGAATTTGTGCAGATTGCTACAGTGCCTAAAGGAGGGGAAGTAGGTGAGGAAATCACCATCATTTCCAATCCTGTCTTCGTTAATAACCAGCCCAAGTATATCCTTACCAGTATGGAGCTACTTTTGGTGATAAGTCTGGTTAATTTGCATGTACATCTTCTCCCTACCTCCATTAGCTTCCCCCACACACTAACTTTGGCCCAGAATAGGGATACAGAGGTGAATAACAGATCTCCCACTGTGATTCCAGTTGAGGTCAACCAATTCAACTTTGTGCACCTACAAGACTCAATGAGTATCACACCGAGCAATGTATGCATTGGCAGTAGTGGAAACATTCTTCTCAAATTCATTTCTTGCATAAGTTAGCTATTTAATTTACATCTACAAGTTTCCATTTAAAATGCCAAACCAATAAATACATGCCTACTTGGATCTGGTCAAAGACATAGAAAATGAAACAAAAGACATTTTGTTAAATAAACTGGAAATATAACTTGCCTTTTTTCTCCTTCATGCTCAAACTTGATCCTTACCTCATTCTACAAAGATAGAAAAATGACTATCAGAACGAAACAGTACAAACAAAATGCCTTTATCAAGGTTGTAAATGTATTGGGGGACATTGGATTTAACAGCTGAACATTTGGAAAACAACAGCAGGAAGAGAAAGAGTCTGCGTGGATTTATAAGAGGGAAATCATGCTTGACCAATCAACTGGAATTCTTAGAGAGTGAGTGTAACTTGTAGAATTGATGAGGGGAAGCCAGTGGATGTAATTTACTTGGAAGTCTTTTAAAATTTTCAGGAGGCCCTTGACAAAGTCCCACAAGAGATTAGTGTGTAAAATCAAAACACATGGGACTGGGATAGTGTATTGAAATGGATCGAAAAAGTATATAAAAAGTAGCCCTATATGGGTCATTTTTTGAATGACAGGCAATGACTATTTGAGTACCAAAGGGATCAGTACTAGGGAGGACTCCAGCTATTCACAATATATATTAATGATTTAGATGAAAGAGTTAAATGTAATATCCCAAAGTTTGCAGATGACAAAGATGCATGGGAGGATGAGCTGTGAGGAGGATACAGAGATATTTCAGTGTGATTTGGACAAGATGAGTGAGTGAGCAAATGCACGGAAGCTGCAGTATAATTTAGATGAATGTGAGGTTATCCAATTTGGGAGCAAAAACAGAAAGGCGTATCATTATCTGAATTAATGTAAATTCAGAGTGGGGAATGTGCAACAAGACCAGAGTGTCCTTGTGTACCAGTCATTGAAGGTAAACATGCAGGTGCAGCACACGATAAAGAAGGCAAACTGTATGCTGGCCTTCATAGCAAGACAAATGAAATACAGGAGCAGGGATGTCTTGCTGTTATTATCAGGTCATTGGTGAGATCATACATTGAACGTTGTATGCAGTTTTGGTCACCCTATCTGAGAGGGGATGTTCTTGGTATAGAGGGAGTGCAGTAAAGGTTGACCAGACTGATTCCCGGGATGGCAAGACCTGAGGACAGTTCATTTGAGTAGAATTATATTTGCTGGAGTTCAGAAGAATGAGGGGGCAATCTCACAGAAACTTATAAAATTCTAAAAGGACTAGACAAGTTGCAGGAAGGTTGTTCCTGATGATTGGGAAGTCCAGAACCAAGGTCACAGTCTGAGGATATGAGGTAAACCACTGAGGACTGATGGGGAGAAATTTCTTCACCCCAAGAGTGATCAGCCGTCGGAGTTCACTACCACAGAAAGCAGATGAGGCTTAAAACGGTGAAAACTTCAAACAGGAGTTGGATATTGCATTTGAGCAAAAGGGATCAAAGGAAATGGGGAAGAAGCAGGACCAGGCTACTGAGTTGGATGATCAGCAATAAACATGTTGAACGGCAGAGCAGGTGGAAAGGCCAAATGGCCTACCCCTGCTCCTATTTTCCATGTTGACAACATAGCAATAACAACTAGTACAACACTCAGAGGATTGTAGAGCTGGAGTACAGGGTAGAAGCTGGAGTGATGTTTTAAAAGCTCATGCTTAAATTTAAGCAAGGAACTGAGAGTAACAATGCAACAGTTAAGTATGGAAGTAACAAAGCATTCATTAGGGTTTCAACAGCAGAGGAGATGAGATAGGAGCAGAGATAGCCATTATGAAAGATGTGGAATCAAGTTTCTTGATGGGAGGCCAACAAGTTTCCACCTATCATCATTCTCCTTTGCCTGGTTCAATATGTTCTCACATTGAAAAACTCCTTCTTTAACATCACTCACTTCTTTGAAAATGTGTTGCTTTGGGTCTCGCGAGTCCTGGTTATGCCCACTTTTTTGTAGGATATGTGGCACATTCCTTATTCCAATCCCATATTGGGCAGCTCCATCACCTCTTTGTCTGGTACACTCTGCTCTGATTTCATCTACTTTGCTTCCAATTTCTAACTTTCCCTTAGCTGCCCACAGTCCACTTCTGACACTTCCCTTCTCTTCCTCAATGTATCTGTTTCCACTTCAAGGAATTGTCTATCAACTAATATTCATGACGGGTTCACTGCTATCCACAGTTACTTCAACTATACTTCCTCACATCCTACTTCCTGTAAGCACTCCATTCTATTTTTCCAGTTTCTCCATCGTACCTATTCTGGTGTGAATGTCCAAACCAGCGATTTTGCATGATCCTCAACTGTACCTGACAACTCTCCAGAAAACCGACCAGAATATTTCTTGCTTTCACTCCCCTTCATTTCATGAGCCTGTTAGCCTATGATAGGGTTTCTCTTGCTGATGCCTTCTACCCACCTGTCTCTGTAACTGCCTGCAGCACTAAAACCCTTTAAGAACTCTGTGTTCCTCCACATCTGATCTCTTATGCACCCCAAACTCCTTCACCCCATGAGCCGAGATAACAAGGTGTAGAGCTGGATGAACACAGCAGGCCAAGCAGCATCAGAGTCGCAGGAAGGCTGACATTTCGGGCCTAGTCTCTTCTTCAGAAATGGGGGAGGGGAAGGGGGTTCTGAAATAAATAGGGAGAGAGGGGGAGGTGGATAGAAGATGGATACAGGAGAAGATAGGTGGAGAGCAGACAGACAGGTCAAAGAGGCAGGAATGGAGCCAGTAAAGGTGAGTGTAGGTGCGGAGTTAGGGAGGGGATAGGTCAGTCCAGGGAGGACGGACAGGTCAGGAAGGCGGGATGAGGTTAGTAGGTAGGAGATGGGGGTGGGGCTTGAGGTGGGAGGAGGGGATAGGTGGGAGGAAGGACAGGTTAGGGAGGCGGGGACAAGCTGGGCTGGTTTTGGGATGCGGTAGGGGGAGGGGAGATTTTGAAGCTTGTGAAGTCCACATTGATACCATTGGGCTGCAGGGTGCCCAAGCGGAATATGAGTTGCTGTTCCTGCAACCTTCAGGTGGCATCCTTGTGGCACTGCAGGAGGCCCAGGATGGACATGTCATCTGAGGAATGGGAGGGGGAGTTGAAATGGTTCGCGACTGGGAGATGCAGTTGTTTAGTGCGAACCGAGTGTAGGTGTTCTGCAAAGCGGTCCCCAAGCCTCCGCTTTGTTTCCCCGATGTAGAGGAGGCCACAACGGGAACAGCGGATGCAGTATACCACATTGGCAGATGTGCAGGTGAACATCTGCTTGATGTGGTAAGTCTTCTTGGGGCCTGGGATGGGGGTGAGGGCGGAGGTGCAAGGACAGGTGTAGCACTTCCTGCAGTTGCAGGGAAAAGTGCCGGGTGTGGTGGTGCTGAAGGGGAGTGTGGAGCGGACAAGGGAGTCACGGAGAGAGTGGTGCCTCCTGAAAGCCAATAAGGGTGGGGAGGGTAAAATGTCTTTGGTGGTGGGGTCAGATTGCAGATGGCAGAAGTGTCGGAGGATGATGCGTTGGATCCGGAGGTTGGTGGGGTGGTACGTGAGGATGAGGGGGATTCTGTTTTGGTTGTTATTGCGGGGAGGGGGTGTGAGGGATGAGTTGCGGGAAATGCAGGAGACACAGTCGAGGGCGTTCTCGACCACTGAGGGGGGGATGTTGCGGTCCTTGAAAAACGAGGAGACATTGTCACGGTTGGGGCCAAATTGGGAAGGCCTGAATGTGGACTGCAGTCCATTGGGGATTATCTGGTTCCGTAGGCAGGTACTAAGAAAGGTGATGCGGCTGACATGTCCATTTAATACATCTCTCTCTCTCTCTTAAACTCCTTGCTTCCTAATTGTATGCTGCAAGAGTCCGAAATTATTAACAGGTTAGCTGATTATTGTGTATAATGACATTAAAAATGGTCTTATGAGCAAATCCTTTGCAGTACATTTCAAATCCACTTGTATGTAACTTCAGAGATAACAAGGTGTAGAGCTGGATGAACACAGCAGGCC